AAAAGGAGAGAGAGGGAGAGGAAATTAGGAGTTAAATTACCAAAGGTTTTTGGCCTTTTAATTTGGGATGATCAAAAGCGTGTTGGAGATGAGTGTATACACAGTCGATCAGATCACCATCTGGACTCTGCATATGTAGTCAAACAAAACAAAACAAAACAAAACATATAAAAGAGGAAAAAGATCAAAGTTAAGACTTATAACAATCAGTTACAACAGAAAAAACAAAGAAGAAATTCCTCCATTTTTGAAATCATTACTACACACTTTAAAATTGCTTCAATAAACAAACTCGAGAAATAACTCAAGAAAAAGAAACAAATAAAAAAATAAAAAACTTGACCACCGCAAAGAAATCAAGAAAAGAAACCCACTTTAAAGAAAGTAAGAGAGAGAGAAATTAAATCACCAAAAAGCCAGTGAAATGAGCCTTGAAGCAGTCTGAATCCATGGAAACTTTTTAAGAGCTGGACATTATTGAACTAAAAAAGAAAAATTTGGAGAGACAGAAAATAGTTTCTCTCATTCACAATAGAAGTATCCCATTTTAGTTCAGTTGAAAGTTACCCAAAAATAAAAAGTTCAGTTGAAAGTAGTGAAATTGGCAATAGAAATTGTTTGAATGTCTCAAATACATGGACTCCTCATCTTAAAAATGAACCCATTTTCAGTTAAGAAACAAGTAGCAGAAATTTATCACTGAAACCTCAAAAGTAATCGAAATCTATATGAATATAGGAAATGTAGGAACCATTTTTGGATCAATGGAGGCCAGAGAAAATGGTCCCTGAAATCCCCAGAATCAGCTAAACAATTGTACTTCCATGTATAAAAAACACCATTTATGATGAGAAAGAGAGAGACCCAATTTGAATACTTTGAAACAAGCTACCCAGGCAATTAAACCCAGAGAGAGAGACCCATTTTGAATACTTCATAACAAATTATGCAGGGATTTGAACCAGGAGAGAGAGAGAGAGAGAGAGAGAGAGAGAGAGAGAGAGAGAGAGAGAGAGTATACTACTAACTAACTTAACGTAACGTAAAGTAACGAAACGAAACCGAAACGAAACGTAAACGTAAACGTTTAAACGTTTTAAAGTTTTAAAAG